TCAAAAGCTTGGTCAATATCTATCAGGGCTTTTGGAAGGGACGAAGAAGTTTCAGATGCTTTTCCTTTATTGCTAATTGAGCGAGCGGTTGTATCAAGTTCCATGTCAGAAGATGCGACATTTTCTGAAATATTTTTTGAAAACGAAGCTTCAGTTATTTGAGGAGGTTCAATAAATTGTTTCTTAGCAGGTCATTGCTATTGGTCGTTGTTAGGAGAAGAAGAGCGAGTCTTATTAGACTTGTTGTTGTTGTTATTGTTTCCGTTTTTTTTCCGATCATATTGGAATTTTTTAATAATATATCATTTTCATATCATTTCTATAAATAATTTTTTTATAAAGTTACAATTTATATAATATATATAATATTATTTACAATTACTTATAAGAATACATAATGCATACAAAATATGCACTTTATTAAAAATAACTATGAAAATTACTTTTTATATTTCTAAATACATTTCAGAAAAATAAAAGATAAAAATGATATTATATACTTTAAGAAATATATATATAGTAAAATAGCTTATTATCTTGAACTTGTTATACTTTACATAAATTATATTAGAAATCATTTCTTTTAGTAACTCAATTATAATGATATATTGACATTTAAAAGAATTTTCTTGTATTTAAAATTATATACAGTATATTTATGAGATTTGTAAATTATGCAAATATCTCAATTTTATTTTGTACTATAAAAATGGATTGTATTATTATATTTATTAATCTTATTATTATAAAGTTTTTGTGAGTATTTACATATCAATCATCGGACAAATCCAGTGCTATATAGATCAAAATTTTCAATTAATGGGATCGACATCATGCATCATTAATTAAATTTATTGATTTACTATAAAAATTATGAAATCGTCAAAGTTTAAAGTTCTATAAAAAACTATTAGCTGTGTCACTTAGAAGTATAACCTTAATTACAAATTGATAAAAACCTTTTTTAAAGATAAATATATTATTACACCTTTTGCTTCGTATTTAGTTCAAAAGGATCTTAATCATAAAGTTAGCATAAAATTTCATATAAATTTCTAAATCCTGAAATGTCTTTGGATAATACACATAAAAATACTTTAGAAGCTTCAGAAATATCTAATGATAATAACGAAACTGGAAACAAGGAAACTGTTACTTTTACTTTAGATGAAGAATACTTAAAAAAAATCATTAATGAACTATATGTAGAAGATACAAGTGAAACAGATG